TGATACTTAGGAGGTTCTTCACTTCCATCTCAAAGCCGGTTTCATTCTGTTCTTTGCCATTTACCGGCTGTCTCTTAGGAGAAATGCACAACTATACAATTCTACCGGTTAATTCAATTACTTTGCTTGGTAAAAATGTTCTACCTACAGCTTTTAATATTTTAAACAGTCTTAACTCTACCTTATTTCCACTTTCACACTGAAAAATGATATAGCTTTACCTTACTTCACATAAATCATATCTGAAAACTGGTTATAAATAAAATCATGCTTTAAGTACACTAGGAAGGTTTACTATTTACATGAATCCTTCATTAAAAAAATACTCAATCCGGACTTTCAAATATCAAAGAGAATGGGAGCTAACATTCTTTGCCTATTTTTAGATACTTTAATTACATTATTTCACTTAATCCCCACAATCCTGGGGAGACAGAAGGTATTATCCCCATTTTACAGATAAGGAAAACAACTCAGAAAGATTAAAAATTTACCTTTGACCCAGGATTAACCCCAATGACCCAACTCTATCACACTGGATCAAATTTTTATAAAATAGGTTAACAGCAAAAATACTGAAATCATTTGACCTGAGTACCTGTATCAGTTGCAACACCAGATAAATCATAGGCCTGAAACTAAGTTGTTTAAGCCTCAACTTTTTCATTAATAAAATGTGAATGATACTGGTTTCGCACAGAGTTGCTGGGATGACCCAATGAAATATAATGTTTGTAAAAACACACCGAGCTACGGCATGTCAGGCAACAGCATTACCTCAGTAGGCCTGAAAAAGCAAGGGATATCAGATTTAGGAGTTACACCTCTTCAGACTTTCACTTATTATACACAATACTGTTTTATAATTAAAGTATGAAACAACTTGTAAATGCTAAGAATTATATAAATGTAAGGCATCTACTACTTTACCAAGTAAATCCTTCCTGAGACTTAAACAAAATAAGTTAAAACAGGCTGAGAAACTTCCTATTGTATAGAACAGATTTTTTAATGTTAGTTTCCTAACTGTTGGTTACTAGAGGAAAAATTTAAGGTAGAAAAATTAAGTCCTATACTAACCTAAATTTAAAAACAAAAAAATGGTTGATAAAATGCTTCTACTTTTATTTTCGAGTACCTAGTTCTCAGCGGGGAGCTTACAGAATTAACATAACAAGAAAATTTAAAACTGCTTTGAAAAAAATTTTTTTAAGCTATACAATGAGGCAGTTTAATTTTCAGGACCCACATGACAGTTTCTTGTTTTTAAAAAATCCTTTTAACAAGTCTTTTTTATTAAACCCTTTCTATAACAAAAGTTTCCTCTGAACATTTTCCCTATTAAAATCCTGCAACCTACTTACTAAATGATTTTGCACAAATAAACTTCTTATAGAGGAAAAAGTTGGATTATTTTGTTAATACCTACCCATAGTATGCTTTGAGAAAAATAGCTGGCACCTTTCCAGTTTAGATCCATGTGGACAAAGTGTAACATAAGCAGGTTAGTATAAACACTTGAAAGATCTTGGTTGCCCACAAATATCTGAATCTCTCCACAGGAAGATTATATTTCAGAGCAGGAAGAAAAATTCTCTTTCATACACATACTAAAGGGCTTTCCACTGGTTTTTGTTAAGACCACAAATGGAAAAAACTACTACAGACAGAAAAAGCACACAACTCTGTGGTATCAAGTACACTGCCAAAGTACCATGTGAAGCAACTGAATTTTTTTCAAAAAGCACTTTTCAAGCATTTTGGCATTTGGAGTAAAAGTAGCTCTTATTAGTAGGCGATCCAAGAAGGGTCTTATTTCCACAGCTAAATTTGCATAAATTTATCTTGAATACTTAACCTTCCTTTTAAAGAATACTGTATTTTCATGTTAAATATACAGAATTAATCTAAAGTTCCAATTTTATTTTTTCCGTACTAGTGACCAAATACTATAAATAAAACATTCAATGACACCTTCAACTTGTTGAACTATGCACCATGTAATTTAGAGGATTACTGACTCTGCATATTTTTGTCAAGCTTTTAAAAACTGTATTAAAGCTGCATCTCCTAGCTTGATCTACTAATGAAGTTTAATATGCAATTATTTTTATTAAATAAAAGTAAATATATTAATAAGGATAACAGTACTAAGGATCCACAATACCTTACTAAAAAGCAAATTTAATAAATATGAAAAACGCTAGCAGCAAACCTTCAATTATAAACAATTTCACAATTTAATGAAAAAAAAATCAATGATATAAAAACATTTTCATTAAATTTACACTCTGAAATCCATGAATAGCAATCCAATGTCCTACCTAATAGGTAAGATGATATTCTTTTATAGCTATGACATCACTCAAGAATTAAAATCTTGGCAATGCCTACCATTGTGGTTTACCATTGACTATGATATGTAAATTTTAACCATTTTTGCATGCTGAACAACAAATGATAATGCAGCAACACAAGCTACACATATCTTAAAACCTTCTTTCAAAAGCTAGTTGGATTCTGGCTGTGGGATGTCCTTGATTAAAAGCACCCCATGAGGCAGGGCAGTATAGGGTCTGAATGGGGTTCCAAATCTATTGTAGGTCAACTGCGATTTGATCTGGGGTTTTCTTTAGACTCCTAGCCAAACTAAGGCTGGATTCGTAAGTCCAAAGAAAAATCACAGCCAGATTATACTTGAAGGAGATGAAATGGATTGAAAAATCTGAACATGTACCTATTTTAGTAAGGGATCTTTAATTTCCAGGCCTTGCAAACCAGATAATCTAGATTTCTAACAGGTTTTTTTTGGTATAAGAATTGTTTAAAGTGTCTAGGAGCATTATCATCTTGTTCCAAGACGATTTCTATCTCATAAAAAGCGAAGACATGAAAATTATGAAATTAAAAGAGTAATGCACAAAGAATAAACTAGACCACCAGGAAACATTTTATTAAAAATCCTCTAAACCTCGTGGGAAAAGTAAGTGAGCCAAAAGAAGTGCCAAGTTCTCCTGTAAAGCATTAGGCACGGATACGAATTTGAATTACCGTACAAACCTACATAGTCCCTGGAATCCCTGCTTCGCGAACTAAGTTCCTATCCCACTGCAAAGCAACACTATTAACTCTACTTCTCCAAATTTACCGTGTATATCTTCTCAGGCAATAAAGTATTTTAAGTCTTTCTATTCTTTGAGTTAACTATACCATTTAAACATAACGACCCAGTAAATAAGACTACACTACTCAGATTTTTACGCTTGTTCCTTTATAAATAAATCTGAAGACAAGCTAACTCCTAACCGTTGTTTGCGTTAGGATTGCAAACAGATACCGGTCTGTGTGACAACTGGGAACAATCAATGGGAAGGGGAGGTGAGGAAAGGGTGAGTGAGAGCAGACGCTGGGTAACTGGGAAAGTAAAGGAATAATTCAAAGTGTCTGAAAAGCGGAGGAGGGCCTCGGGGAAGTACAGGTCCGAAGGTAGGGCAGGTAGTTAAAGCCGGGCAGGGAAAGACAAGCCCAGAGCAAGAGGGAAGAACTACCTGGCAGGGCGCAGGAGGAGAGTTGCAATCGCAAGGGCAGGTGAGCGAGCGCGCAGGTGGGGATGGGGGCTGGCATCCTCTAGGATGGGAAGCGTTCAGGTGAATCGGGGAGAAGAAAAGCAGCAAAACTCTGAAGAGCAGACCTGTTTGATTCGGGCGGGGGCGGGGGGAGGCAACGTGGGAAACACGACCCAACTACAAGCCCCAGCGCGGCAGAAGGAAAGCCCGGGAGGAAATGGCTCTGGAGGCGCGGGGGCGAGCCCCTGCGCTCTCCCCCGGGGCCGCACCCTCGGAGGTTACCTTTCAGCTGGGGCAAGGGGTGCAGCTCCGCCTGGCTGCCCTGGCTGCGGAACTGCGACGAGCCCTGGGAGCGCTTCTGCCTCTGCGCCTTGCGCACCGATTTCCGGGTGAAGCCGTCCACTTTCTCCGAGGCCGAGATGGCGGCGCTGGCAGCCCCCACCGGCGGCGACGACGACGACATCGCCGCGGCCCTGGCGCTTGGCAGCTCCGGCTGCTGCGTGCACGGAACGGGCAGCGGCAGGAGGAGGAGGCGGGGGAGAGGCGCCGACAGCTCGCGCCCCTCCGCCTCGTCCCCCCGGCCGCGCCGCCCTCCCGCTCCCGGGCGCCGCCGAGCTTCTCCTCGCTGCCCGCCGCCGCCTCACGGCCACATCTCAGTGCCGGGGATTCCGGGTCCCCGCCGCGCGGCCACCTCCCGGGGCTGACGGAGGCAAGGGCGGGGGCGAAGGGGGGTGAAGAAGTTGTTGACTTCGGGCGCGGAGGGCGGGTGGAAAAGAGCCTGAAGTTTGGACAACTGAGGCGAGGGCGCGGGGGTGCGGACGCCAAGTGCGCCTCTCTTCTCTTCAGCCCAGTTCGCTGGCCGGCCGGCCGGCCCCTCAGTGTCCGCTGCCAGCACAGCCCGCCCTGCTAGGAGCCTCCTCCCGAGGCGCTGCCATCGCGGGTCCCCTCCGAGTCGCCGCCGCGGTGCCCGCTCTTCCCTGTCAGCGCCGGACCCTCATCTCCCGGGGCGGTTACCCGCCGCCCCGGCTCTGGGCGCGCACACACTCGCTCCTCACAGCGTCTAGCGGTCCGAGCCCCCTCCCCCACGCGCCCTTCCGCCGCCCCCGGAGAACCCCCAGCGAGCGACCGCTACAACTTGAGAAGGTGGAGGGTGCACGCGGGGGGGTGGGTAGTGTGTGTGCGTGTGCGCGCGCGCTAGGGCGCGCGGCCCGGGGGAGGGGCCGCGCGAGGGGTGGGGAAGGAGGAGATTGACTGACAACTTCCGCAGGGTCCCGCCAGCCTCTCCGACGTTCGGGAGAGAGTAGGAGGTGGGAAAACATGCCAGTTCTCTCAGCCAATCGCAGGGCTAAGCGGCAGGAACGGGGTGAGGCGTGGCCTCCTACACGGTCTATTAAGCTGAGAGGTTAGGCTGAGAAATGGGGCGAGGTTGTGTGACCGACTTCTGCCACAGCCAATCGTAAGTGAGGACGGCAAGCGGTGCGCCGCTACGTCACAACAGCGCGATGAATTCTTCTGGTAGAGAGGGGAAGTGCCCCGCCACCGGCAAGCGGATTTGCACGCCTGCGCAACAGCTCCAGGCTCTAATTGCTCTTCTGACAGCCTATGAGAAGACCAGAAGACTAGAGTGGTAGTTTGGAGAGCAAAATGAAGGCCCTTTCCCGTCCCTGTCCCCTCAGTTGGCCAATGAGGAACTGAAGCGACTGATGGGGCTTGAGGTCTGGGACGGGAAAGAGCGCCAGGTGTTACATCACTAAAATGGGTGGAGCAGAAGTCTGGTTTGGGAAAAGAGCGGTTGGATTGACGGGCGAAGGGGCCCTGGGGAAGGCGAGAAAGTAAGTCCGCCCATTTGGAGTTGGGCACTGGGTTCCTGGGCGGGCCTTGGAACCTCCACTGGTCCTAAACCGCGTAATTAGTAGTTGCGGAATAAATTGGTAGCTCTTGAGTGGTTCAGGCACCGTGGTTCCGACAACTGTTTTCGCGCCTAGTGTGGGCAGTCTAGCATCTATTGCTTCAAAGAGTTCTCCGTATCCACACCATCCTAGAAGAGGTTTCTCGTGCCCAAGTTAGTATCCCACTAATTTTCACCCCTTCTTCAGCCAGAGGCCTTCGGCTTCTCCAACAGAACGAGTACAGACTCGATGATCAGTGGCTTGTGGATTCGGGGGCTTGCCATTTACTCTCACTGTGATCTCTTCCTTGGAGATCACAAACTTCTTAAGGACAGGGACTCGTTATCTTTGTGTGTGTGTGTGTGTGTGTGTGCGCGCGCGCGCGCGCGCACGTGCCGCGGGGTGGGGCGGGGCTTTGCGTATCATGTTTAATAAAAATAAGTGAGTTGATTTGTATGAGAAATAAGCAAAAGGGAACCAAATGTTCTCTCTCTATTATAAGACTATTACAAGACTCTCACTACCCAATTAGTACTAAGCGAAATTCATAAATTGATTTGTCATTTACGTAAAAATTGATAAACCTTTGCAGAGTGGAAGAAGTTTTAAAAAAAATTAAGCCTAGAAAAATTTAAAAATTAAATAAGTAAGCACAACAGTGTCTGCCTTTGGCTTAGTGGTTTTGCGCTGGTGGGCCCAAACCATTCCTTTTCCCAGGAGCTCCAGACATTTTCCTTTCCACTTGATAAAAATAGGTGCCATATGTTTAAGCAAAAGTACCTGTGCATATGTACAGAAGATTTCAACTTTGGGAGAAAGTTGGATTCTAGATCCAGGACCAAACCAATTACCTCAAAACATCTTCCTCAAATTCAAGAGTGGTGAAACTGTATACAATTCTCCCAGTCAAGGAGGTTCAAACCTCAGCAGCAGCTTTGACAATCCAGTCAAGCTCCAGACCATATTGAATCTACCTTCGAAAACGTTCAGTCCAGGCCCTCTCACAATTTGCAGTCAACCCCCAAATATACTTCAGGGCTTTGAACTTCACTGCCAGATCAGTCTTTTAAAACTCCATTTGTTGCAGTCAACCCCCAAATATACTTCAGGGCTTTGAACTTCACTGCCAGATCAGTCTTTTAAAACTCCATTTGTACCTTATTCACGTTTGAAGAACTACCCAGTACCTACAGAATAGAGTCCAAATTCAAGGCTGTCCTCAAGCTAACTCCTACCTGTTTTCAAGGCATAAACCACACCATGTCCCTACACAAACTTTCAGGTCAGACACATCATTCCACATACTGATCACCTAAAAGTAGTTGTACTCCCTTAACCCTCTGTCTTTACTCTTCCAACATCTTGAAATAATCCTTTTTCTCTATCTGGTTGAAACCTATCTTTTCTTCAAACCCCAACTCGATCCCTATCTTTTATGAAGCCATTTATGATAATCTGGCCAGAAGTGATGTCTCCCTTCTTTACATTGCCAAAGCATTTATTGTCTACATCACCAACATGGCCTGTCATCACACACCATTGGAGATGGCACTATGCTCTTCCTCCCCTGAAGGTTTATAAACACCAAGAGATCAAGAACTTAGTCTTTCTATACCTTCGTATCCCCTACCAAGCACAAGATAGACCTACAGTACATAACCTAGTTTTTAGTTCTCAAGAGCAGGGTTTCTGAAAGTGTGGTCATTTGATCACCTGCATCAGAATTCTCTGAGGTGCTTATTTAAAATGCAGATTCCGGGGTGCCTGGGTGGCTCAGTTGGTTAAGTGTTCCTCCAACTCTTGATTTTGGCTCAGGTCATGATCTCACGCTCCTGTGTTGGGCTCCTCACTCAGCAGGGAGTCAGCTTCTCTTCTTCTCCCTTGTCCCTTTCTATGATCTATCTCTGTCCCTCCCCCCACGCATGCGTGCTCTCTCTCTCTCATATATATATATAAAATCTTAAAAAATAAGATAAAATAAAATGTAGATTCGTGGACCTGATCCCAGACATACAGAACAAGAACCTATGGGAAAAGCCCTGAGAAATGCATCTTTAATAAGCTCCCTAGATCATTCTTATGCACACAAATGTTTGAAACTACTATTCTCTGGATATTACTTTAAAAGATTGTAAATGACTAGAAGTCAGAGGTAGTACAATTAATAACAAAGAGAATTTAATAGGCTAAGAAGGTAGAATAAATAGCAGAAAACAAACCAGTGGAGTAAAGCTAAAATTCATACAGGAATATGATAATGGATACTGGAAAATAGATAACAGAAACAAGTTGTTGAGAGACGTGGAACCAGCAAAGCTATCTAGGCTTTCTGAAATGGCCCCTTGGGGAAGAATTTTGAGCACAATTTTAAAGAGTGAGTCAAAACCTGAAAAGAGAAAAGGATGTCATTCCAGATTCAAGTCACCAAACATCTTGGGGGAGGTGGGAAGAACAATAGCCCAAGAATCAAAAGGCCTGACTTTCTTACTTACCAGTAGTATGATCCTGCCAAGTCACTCACTCTCTCAAGAGCCTTGGTTTCCACATGTGTACATAAGGAAAAAAGTTAAGTGAACAGCCTTCCTTACGGGGTTGGCATGAGTTTTAAATGTGACACATGAAAGAAAATACTGGGGAAAGCGGAAGCTATACACATGATAATTTTATACACATAAGATTTTTCATGCACTGTCATAAGTAAATAAGGTATCTGGGACCTAAACAGAGATTTGGTCACTAAGAATCATCTATCAGGAAACTGCAATTGCAGTACTAATCTATAGGTGCCTTTGATGCAGGAAGACTGTTGACAATGATTCCATGCCATAGATCTCTTACCTCTTCCCATCTCTGAAGACCCTTGCTAAACAGTGATTCAGAGGCCAAGGCTTCATCACTGGCAAATTCTTTGGATTGGTTTGTCCTCACATGACGTGATTTCCTCAGTCCATAAACATAAGTACACTTACTGATCTCATTCTTTTATTCATAATGCCTAGCTCGCTGAGGAAAATGAGTAATTCATGAAACAACAACATCCACAAAAGCAAAATCATGGTCTTTTAATAGTTTTAAAGAGTGCATCAAAGACAGTGTTCTTTCCAAATCACTGTGAAATTCACTAAAACATATCCAAGTGAGGTTTTAGCTATCAACATTCTCTTTCTTTAAGAGCCATGATTCCTAAACCATGCTCTAACAGAACACCAGACAAATGTGCTTTATCTGCAGAATCAAATAGTGGAGGGATTTTCCAAATTTACAAAAGTAAAGTTTGTCCTATATATTTTTCTTAAAAATTTGATTCTCACTACCACTTTATTAGAACCTAAATCAAGATAGTATCTGATTTGTCATAAAATGTTGATTTTTAATACTTCACTTTTTATGTAAATACACTCATTATTTAAAATTTAAAAGGAGTAAAAGGGTCAGAAAAAGTCTCACTCCCATCCCTGTCTCCCAACATCCAGTTCCCCTCCTCAGAGGCAACCAATGCTATCAGATTCTTACATGTGCTTCTTCCAGATATGTAATATGTTTACTTCCTTAAGATTTCATAAATTCACATTTTAAGAAGCTCTACCAGACACTCATGATTTGTAGGTATTTCACACTGCTCCAGACTTCAGTGAACCTTCTAGAATTCTTACAGTTTTATGCATATCCATTCATTCATTCATTATTTTATTCATTAATTCACTCACGTAACAGATATTTATATTTGCATGCTCTGCATCAACAGAATTAGAAAGTTGAAGGAATCTCAACAGCTGATCAGTACAGGTTTGGTGAAGTTGGTACCTGACTCTAGGTAGACCAAGAAGGTCCTTCTTATGTGCCTCAAACTGGTTCAAATTGGAAAGTCCTCTTTTAAAATATATCTTATGGGAGACTTCTGTTTCTATGTACAATGATATCTTCTGACTACTAACTTACTATGCAAGTTGTCAAAGCTTATTAAAATTTGGTTTTTGTAAACTAAACTCAGCACTTTCCTAGATTTTTTCAAGGACTCTAATAATTCTGTGTTGTCTTTCTGGCCCTTGTGCAGGCCCATGTGCTCATTGAGATGATTGGAATTCCTGCAATTTTCAGGAAGTGTCCTTCATTAACAGGGCAAGATCAGTTGTAGTGGTTTTCAATTGCCACCACTTTTGCCTTTTAATTATAAATTGTTTCTAGTCAAGCTTATCATTTTTAAATCAGTTCACTCTAGTCTATTGTACAGGCTATTGTGTTGGTCAACCAGGAGCTTAGACAAGGTCAGTGGCAGTAGAGATGGGTTAGATTGGAGATTTATCTTATGGAGTATATAGGACTTGCAGAAGGTATTATTAATCCCCCCAAACATGGTGGTATCCTTACATGTTATGATTACCATGGAATCTCTCTTCCATAGCTGTGAGGTCTTTTGCTCCATTGAAGCAGGCTATAATCATAAATGTCTGAAAACTTCTGGTGTACCCAATCCTTTACCTATATAAGTAACCAGGATATAATTTGAAGGGGCTCAGCTCATGCCATATCCTCTTGTCCTTGCAGAGTGGGACTAAAAAGCCTGACGTTGGCAGACTCTCCACACTTTAATTCAACCCTGAAAGCATTTTTCAAGTGCCTGCTAGGTGCCAGGCAATATGCCAGACAGTAGGAATGGAAAGATAAATAAAGCATGGGCCTTACAATTTAGTGAGGAGGGGCAACATAAATAAGTAATCAAAGACTACATTGTAAGTGTTCCTTATGGCGTTGTGTGAAAACAGTGGAAAGAAGATCAGAGTTTGGTTTAGGAGGGGGGAACCAGAGAAAATTTAAGAGAAAAAGTAATGCTTGAAGTGAGTCTTGAAACAAAATAGTTTTCATATGGATAAGACCAAAAAAAAAAAAAAAAAAAAAGAATACCTACTATTCAAGAAATTAGCTTCCCCGCATTTCTTTTTCAC